GCCAGGGGTGGGGCGGGGCTGTGGGCTCTGCCACTTACTGTCTCCTGAGCTGTCCTTTCTGTCTGCTGAGGTGGCTGTCCCTATTGAAGATATGCAGAGGATCCATCTGCGCTTCATGTTTCGACACCGGTCATCACTAGAATGTGAGTATTGTGACTTATGGTATGCCTGCAGCCCTGATAAGGAGAGAGGGACAGGATAGCTGGCTGGCACTTGCTTTTTCAATTCTTTCTTCCTCTGACCTTGCAATGCTTTCTCCAGCCAAAGACAAAGGAGAAAAGAACTTTGCCATGTCCTATGTGAAGCTCATGAAAGAAGATGGAACCACACTGCATGATGGATACCATGAGTTGGTTGTTCTCAAGGTAAGGTGAAGTAGGGCTTGCAGGAAGCAGAGGAGTTGTGGCAAGATAGCTTAGTTGCTAACAGCAGAGACTCCAAAATCATGCTCCCCAGGGTTCATGAGCTGTGTGACTTTGGACAAAACCTTTTCTTTGGGCATCTATTTCCTGGTCTTTGAGCCCTTGGTAAATCTGTGTGAAAAGAAATGAGACATTGCTTACCAACAGGACAGTGATGAGCAAAGCCTCCATGAAGAAAAGGGTTCTGGTCTCTTGTCAGAAATATGTAGAAAACATACAAGAAACATTTGAAGGATGCTACACAGTAGCTGTTAAAATCTAGGGCCCCAGACCCTGCTGCTCATCTCAGGCTTCCTAAGTCTCAGTTTCCTTTTTGTTTTTTTTTTTTTCTTCTTCATGGGAGGAGGGGAGAGGGCAGTCCAGAGACTAAACCCATGTTGTCATATGAGACAAGCACTCTGTTACTAAGTTAAAGTTCCAGCTTGCTTCATTTTTCACAAGCACTATTTTAGTCTATTACATGATATTATAACAAAATACCTGAGGCAGACTATACTGTGACTCAAAGAGGTTCCTTAGCCCACAGTTTTGGGGTTGGAGAACATGGCATCACTGCTAAGCTCTGGTGAAGGCTGCCTTGGCTGAGTCACATCATTAACAAGAGTTTATGTGTGAAAAAGAGAACACATCCCAAGCAGGAAGTCACATAGACTTGGTGGTGTCAAGCTCAGGATTTTATAGCAATCCTTCCTTGAGAAGTAACCATAATCCCACAAGAATTACTTAATTCCTTCCAAGGACAGTGCCACAATGGCCTAAGGATCTCCAAAAGCTCTTGTGACTTCATCTCCACACTGGCCAATAGGCATCCAGCACATGAATGTTGGGGAAGTATTAGTTACGTCTCCCACTGTTATAACAAAATACCTGGGAAACACTGAGGGATGGAAGGCTTATTTGGGCTCGTGATTCCATAATAATATCCATCATGGTGAGGCAGGAGCTTCAGGCTTCTGGCCATATTGCACCCCAGTCCACAAGCAGGAGAGAACA